TCCAACAACAGCCGCATTATAAAGACAATGAACCTGAAGCCTGTAAGGGTTCAGCAATTTGCCTAAAACCACTGGTCAGAAGTAGCACTGCTCAAATTAAGCCTAAAAACAGTTTAAAACTCAGCTTTTGGGGCGCCTGGGTGGCTCAGTCGGTTGAGCGTCCGACTTTGGCTCAGGTCATGATCTCACCATTTGTGGGTTTGAGCCTCATGTTGGCCTCTGTGCTGACAACCTGGAGCCTGCTTTGGATTCTGTGTCTCCCTCTCTCTCTGCTCCTCCCCCAAGTGTGCTCCCTCTCAAAAATAAATAATAATAAAACAGTTTTTTTAAATAATACAAAAATAAAACTCAACTTTTAATCACTAAAATAAATGCCTAAAGTAAGAATTAATAGACCCACTTCAATAGTAAAATAGCTAAAAAGCCATCTGTAATATTATAAATTTTTGTTTTGATAAAAAATAGTGTTATGTACACTTTCCAAATCAATGTTTCAATGAAATCCTACCATACCATGCAAAAAGGAACACACGCGTCAGAAACGTATATCAAATGCTTACGACAGCTTCATTTTTAAAACGTGAAAGACCAGTGATAATGAAGACAAGGCAGTGGCATTTGGAGGCTGAAAGCAATTTGATTTATTTAACTTCAAAGAACAAAAGCTTATTCTTCTAAGAAGAAATCAAAACACATTTTCTGTGAAAAAAAGAGACCATTTTAACAGCATGGCCAAAATAAATCAGGCAGAGAGCAAGTTAGATCTAACTACAAAAAAGATCTCAGGCCAATGAAATGGGGAGAAGAATAAGGAGAAGAAGAAATGCCAAACAACAGATTTTGGTTTTTAAAAAGAGGACAGAGAGAGAGATCTAAGCCTAGTTTCTAGTATCAATCCCTAGTTTTAAAAAGAGAAAGAAAACAAGCCAACGAGTAGGTATAATTTTACATGTGAATATTTAAATCAATTCTACACTAAAAATCCAAATTTTTTTTTTTAATGTTTTATTTATTTCTAGGAGAGAGAGAGAGACAGCGTGAGCAGGGGAGGGTCAGAGAGAGAGGGAGACACAGACTCTGAAACAGGTTCCAGGCTCTGAGCTGGCAGTCAGCACAGAGCCCGACGCGGGGCTCGAACCCACGAACCGCGAGATCATGACCTAAGCGAAAGTCGGACGCTTAACCGACTAAGCCACCCAGGCGCCCCTAAAAATCCAAATTTAAACAAAAGTATTTTCCAGGAAAAAACAAAACTTTAAAAACTATACTGGGTCATAGGAAAGATGCGTTAACATTCCTGTCTTACTTTATTAGCTATATTCTGGCAAATCTTCCGATTCAGTCCAGAACCAGAGATTTGGGGCCCAAATGGAAAAATGTCAGGATTTCTCCAGTTGGAAAATCAAGTAATGTTAAAAACCCCAAACATACCCTTTGGGAGGATGGGGGTCATGAGAAATATTAAAACACCTAGCAAGAAAAATTTTAATGAATAAATTTTTCATATGTCAATGAATAGTCCCTTCCCCTCTTTTTCAGAATCCATTCTCATGCAGGCCTCAATCCTAGGAGGCTCTGACCACAGGATCCACTTTCCCCAGACCCAGAGGCGAGGTCAAGCCTATGACTCCAGAAGCCTGGGGTGGGCTCTGAACTCCACCTTCCTCCTGCTGGTTACTCTGAACACGTTGCTTAAACTCTGTGCTTAACACTTTCATTGGCAGAACCGGGTACTAACTAGCACCTACCTATTGCTGTTGTTAAATCAGTGAATACATGGAACGTGCCTTTCAGAGCATGTCGGGTACAGAGAAAATACTTGAGATACAACAGGTATTTAAATTACTCTTTGGCTAATGAGCACTTACAACATAATTCTCTCCACTTCTGTGTTTGTTTGAAAATCCCATAATAAAATTTTTTATTTTTGATTTCCAAATTAATTACAACAGAAGGCTCAGAAACCACATTCCCTTTCTAAGGTCATCCATGAGCTCCTTGTTGATTTTGGACGGCACAGTCCAACATGATGACCCTCGACTAAGAGCCAACGACACGCCAGGCACTCTGTTGCACTTGCCTTAAATCAATGAATATAATATCCTTATGTCATAGTCACGGAAAGTGGGTTCACGTGGGAGGTTAAGTACGGTTTCTAAGAGGTGAAGCTAGGATGTGAGACCACGCCTTCTGACCCAGTCCAATGCTCTCTTACAAAATCCTGGTGGATGACTGTGCACTTTGCAGAGAATATCAAATTGTAAATCAGATGTGGTCAGGACTTGAGATGATTGGATCAAATTCTTATAGTCAGATACAGACAGAATTTGGGCCAGGAAAACCATCTGAGCAATCCTAATTCTTTTAACCTTCTCAAGTCTCAAGTGCCTCTCTCTCCAGGCAGGAGGGCCAAAACCTGTCAGGCTGAGCCTCACACAGGATTATGCTGCACTTCCTGCCTCAGGGACAGCAGTGTCCTCTTACGTGTGGTCTGCTCCAACTCTTGACACGTGGCCAGGCTGTGGACGCACAGGCAAACTGTCATCACATGCAGCTGAGCGGGCGGGGCCCTCCTCACCTTACACTAGGAGAGCCAGATGCTTCTCTTCTCAGGATTAAAGTCCTCACGACTTTAATCAGATTTACTTCCTATTTACCATAGTCACTCAGGACAATACCTAGGGTACCATCCACTCTGTTCAATAAAACTTTCTGTGATGACGGAAATGTTCCGGATCTGCACCGTCCGGTATGGCAGACCCTAGCCAGCCAACTGTGGCTACTGAGCATGAGAAATAGACTAGTACAACTGCAATACTAAATTGTCAATTTTAATTAATTTAGATTTAAGAAGCCACAGGTGATTCGTGGCTACCATATTAGAACACAGGTTCTGGATCACTGTGGAAATGCCCTCCATTCATGGGTCTAGGGCTGACTCTTAGTGAGCAGCCTAGGATGTTTAGAAGAATATTGTTGGTCTTGTAGTCAGAGCCTAGGTTCAAATCTTCCAGCTAAGTGACCCTTAACAAGTAATTTACCCTTTCCATTCATTGGATCTCTCATTTATAAAACTGGGAAAATAGTATCCTTCCCCTTAGAAATGTTTATAATGGTGACATGTGAGATATGTATGTCAGATATATATCCGGAAGACTGGATATGTCAGATACGTATCCAGAAGACTAGAATACTGAATTGACATCAGCTGCTTTTACTATATTCATCATTCTCTTCCTTTTCTTTGCTCTTTTTTTTTTTAATTTTAATGTTTTATTTATTTCTGAGTGGGAAAGACAGCATGAACAGGGGAGGGTAAGAAAGAGAGAGACATAGAATCTGAAGCAGGCTTCAGGCTCTGAGCTAGCCTTCTGCACAGAGCCCGATGCAGGGCTCGAACCCACAAACTATGTGATCATGACCTGAGCCAAAGTCAGATGCTTAACTGACTGAGCCACCCAGGCGCCCCCATTCTCTTCCTTTTCTTAAGTCTCTCTTGGTTCCCTTCCCAAGGCACCAGTAACTGGCTGAGAAGCCAGAGATAGACTTTTCTGCTCTGTTTCTCTTTCTTTCTTTCTTTTTAAAGTTTGAGAGAGAGAGAGAGAGAGAGAAAGCACATGCACCCACCAGCAGGGGAGGGGCAGAGAGAAAGAGGAAGAGAATCCCAAGCAGGCCCTGCACTGTTACTGCAAAGGCCAACCCGGGGCTCGAATCCACGAACTGTGAGATCGTGACCTCAGTCAAAATCAAAGGTCAGATGTAACCGACTGAGCCCTGCAGGCACCCTTGTTTCTCTTTGTTAAAGAAAGCCCTACTCAGCTCCTAAACTCGGGGGAATGGGCCAGATCTTTCCCGAATGCGAGACTACGAGAACTAACATTGGAAGCTCAGAGCCCCTGTGCCTTAGAGACGTCAAGACTACTCCTCTTCCAGATCATCCTCAGGCCCTCCAAGCCTGCGCAGGTTATCAGAGACACTCCGCTTGCAAGCCGCTTCTCCCCCGCACGCGGCCACACCAGCCACATCCCTGCTTGACTCCTGGGCTCAGGTTCAGCCTTGCCTCTGTCCTGCACCTTCAAGGCCCCAGCCAGCCCGCCTCCCCAAGCCTCACCCGTCCCTCCCTTTGCCAGTGTGACCTCTCCTGCCTTCACATCCAGGCTCTGACAGTTGGATTGGAGCCTCCAGAGAAAGATCACCCCAGAGTCCACGACTCCCCTTCTTACACATAAAGACACATGAAAGGGGTGAATGCTACCCAAGCCAGAACAAAAAGAAAACGGTAAGATGAAAGCTAGGCCAATATCAAATTATCACCAGCCTTTTTTCTTTTCCGAGCACTGTCTTCCAAAATGAAGACTGCCCAGCCAAGAAGCATTCACGTTTGCTTTTTAAATCATTTCAAATACTTGGTTGGAAGAGTAATACTCCTACTGGGGCACATCAAAGAAAAGCGGTTTCCAACTCCATTAAAGAAAAAAAAAACATAGGTTTGCTTGCTCCAGGCTTTTTTCAAATAACAGTTTACCTAGAAATGATGGCAAGATTGTATCTCATTTGGCCTGCATGCATTTTTAAATGACATTTAATAAGCTGCCAACATTAAAAACCTGTGGTGATTTCACATTTTAAAAGTCCAGATTTCTGCCTTTTTTTTTTTTTGCATGAGATCTAGCAACATTTAAGTGCCTTCTGCCTTGGGGAAATACAAGCCCGGCGGCTGGGTTATGGGAGCTCCAGTTTGCTGCGTCCCCGTCCCACATTGCTTCTGAAGGACCCCTCTCTCCTCATTACTGTGCAGGCCAGGCCCCTGGAGGCAGCCAAACCTGGGGTCTCTTCACAAGAAGCTCTGAACAGACAAGTAATCCCATTCCGTCCCCTACAGCCCTGCGGGTTCTCACTTTCCTGCCAAGTCATTCCCACACCACCCCACACCCCAGGAAGCCCCAGCACCTTCTCCCCACCATGCCCTGCCCCCCCATGTCACCTCAACTGCAACTCACCTGCTACTCTGTGTCACTCTGCTCTCTCTTCACAGGTGTCACAGGAACCTCCCCATTGACACTGTCGGTCCCGCTAACTGACATCAAACTTCTCCGCTCCTTCTGGTTTGACTTGTGTTCCACTTTGGTCACTCTAAACCTGAGGGGGCAAAGAGCACATTTGATGGGTTTTGCTTCTTCAGGAAACGAGAATCAAGAGGCAATCAAAAATCTAGAGGATGCTGGGGCACCTGGGGGGATCAGTCCTTAAGAATCCAACTCTTGATACGGGCTCAGGCCATGACGTCACAGTTTGTGGGTTCAAGTGTTATGTAGAACTCTGTGCTGACAGTGCAGAATCTGCTCGGGACTCTCTCTGCCCCTCCCCCACTCGCACGCACTCTCTCTCAAAATAAATAAATTTTTTCTTCTTCTTCTTCTTTTTTTTTTTAATCTGGAGGATCCCAAAGACTCTTGGTCAAAAGTTGGGCCATTAATGAAGAAAGCCCTATGTAACAGGAGGGGCGCCCCACCCAGCAAATGCCCCCACCCCCTGCCAACCTCTCCAGCTGATTTTCACTCAACACATCACACACTCTCCTGGACACTTTGCAGAGCATGAAAAATACATTAAAAAGTCTGGGTACCCACATCTTAAACAGCCTCAGGGGCGTGGTTTGTAACAAGGACACAAGTTCTCCATTAGTTGTTTTAACTCCGGAAGGCTGGATGAAAGCACAACCAGCTTGCAGTTAGACTGATGTAACCCAAATGTTCGCTCAAGAACTGCCTTCCTCGAGTACACCCCTCAGAGAGACTTATCTCTGCACACACTTGGCCAGAGGAGCCCCAACCATGAATTTTATCAGGATCAGTTGGTGGTGGTTTCTGTGTGTGTTCCGTTTTGGGCTTTTTTTTTTTTTTTCCAGCAAATTTGGCTTAATTTTCATTAAGGGTTAGGGAACAATTTAAGGGAATTAAGGGGGATTTTCACTAAGAATTAGAGTCTGCTCGCCTTCCCCTTGCCTCTGAAGAGGGCAGTCACCACGTTCATGGCAGAGATTCTGCGTTCTGAAGTTAAGAGGCTCCCAGACAGCCTTCAACTTTGGCCTTCAGCTGCAGATCATGAAAAACGTGGTGGGGACCCACAGCACCCTCATAAACTACATATTGTTCCCAGAAGAACAAGTACACAAAGACGTCCATATTGGGAAAAATATAAAAGAAAGATACTTGGATTAGATAAAACACATACTCCTCCAGTTCAGTGAATGCAAAACTGAAAGTGGTTAACACTTGATAAGAATCAAGCCAATGAAGTTGCCACAAGGACTTCCAGAGGAGGACACGTATGACACCACACTGGAACGCTGGGGAGTCAGGAGCACAGTGGCATCTAAATCCTGTGGATCAGGAAGCAGGTATGTCCTGAAGCCAGAACAGTTTCATATTAAAAAATGTAAATCAAGGGTACCTGGGTGGCTCAGGCATGATTTCGCTGTTGGTGAGTTCGGGCCCTGTGTCAGGCTTTGTGCTGACAGCTCAGAGCCTGGAGCCTGCTTCATAGTCTGTGTCTCCCTCTCTCTCTGCCCCTCCCCTGCTCACACACACTCTCTCTCAAAGAAATAAATATACATTAAACATTTTTTAAATACGTTATTTTTATTTAAAGATAGTGAGAAAGTGTTTTCATTAAAATATATTTTAGGGGTGCCTGGGTGGCTCAGTTGGTTAAGCATCAGACTCTTCATTTCTGCTCAGGTCATGACCTCACTGTTCATGAGATTGAGCCCTGCATTGGGCTCTGCACTAACAGTATGAAGCCTGCTTGAGATGTCTCTCTCTCTCTCTCCCTGTGCTCTTTCTCTCTCTTTCTGCACTCTTTATTTCTCTCTCTTTCTCAAAAATAAATAAATAAATATGAAAAAATTTGTAATTAAAATATAATATATATTCAATTTTTAAAAATGTTTATCTATTTTTGAGAGAGAGAGAGAAAGGCAGAGCATGAGTGGGGGAGGAGCAGAGAGAGAAGGAGACACAGAATCTGAAGCAGACTCCAGGCTGAGCTGTCAGCACAGAGCCTGACATGGGGCTCGAACCCACTAACCTCGATATCACAACCTGAGCCAAAGTCAGATGCTTAACTGACTGAGCCACCCAGGTGCCCCAAAAAATAAAATATATATTCTTAATTGTTTTTTTAACATTTATTCATTTTTGAGAGACAGTGTGAGTGGGGGAAGGGCAGAGAAAAAGGGAGACACAGAATCCAAAGCAGGTTCCAGGCTCTGAGCTGTGAGCACAGAGCCCAACGTGGGGCTCGATGTCATGGGCCATAAGATTATGACCTGACCTGAAGTCGGATGCTTAACAGACCGAGGTTAAGGTGCCCCTAAAATATATTTTAAATCCCAGTCATTTCTACTGGCTTAAAAAAAAAAAAAAAAAAAAGATTAAAAGAGAAGTTAAGGAAATTTACTCAGTCTAAATTTTACTAGAAATTTACTCAGTTTTTCTAGTTCATCAAGCATCAAAATCCCCAAGTTTTTCATAAAAGCTTCTCTCTAGTTCTGGTTTTAAATTCCTTTAAAACCACCTAAAACAAAATACATTCTCCTTCTTTGTCCAAATGAGATCACCAACCACAAGGAGGAGGGAGAATCTCATGAAGTAAAAGAAGAATCAGAGAAAAGCTGTAATGACAGATCTGCACGGTGGAAATGTCAGAGAACTTCTACGCAACACGAGAAGCCTGTAATAATTAAACGCTCCCGGCATTCTACATCCAGGAAAGAGAGTTGCATGTGGGGCATTTAGAAGAGCCATGTTGAATCTCATTTGAAAATTTCAGCAGATTTTTTTTTAATTTTTTTTATTTATTTCTAGGAGAGAGAGAGACAGCATGAGCAGGGGAGGGTCAGAGAAAGAAGGAGACACAGACTCTGAAATAGGCTCCAGGCTCTGAGCTGGCAGTCAGCACAGAGCCCCACGTGGGGCCCGAACCCACGAACCGCGAGATCATGACCTAAGCGAAAGTCAGACGCTTAACCGACTAAGCCACCCAGATGCCCCCAGATTTTTTTTTTTAAAGCAAACAAAATACGCTTTGTCTAAACAAGCCACAGGTTCTCATCACATTCCACATTCACAAACTCCCATGACTCTGCTTCTTAATAAAATAGTGTGGTCATGCGTTGTACTCTTTCTCTGCAAGCAGCAAACAGCCCAGCAGTCTTCTCGTTTCTTGTGCAACACATAATAAAAACCAAACCGCATCAAAATAATAATGAGAGCCAACATCTGAGTGAGTAAAAAGTGCCACAAACTGGTCGAAGAGCTTATGTAAGTCATCTTATTTAATCGTCACAGCAACCCAGTGAGCTGAGGTCTACTGTCGTCCTCACTTTATAGAGGGGGAAACTGAGGCACAGAGAAAAGTAAGTGAGTTTGTAAGCAGTGGTGCCTGCATTGCCACAAGGGAGAGGCAACGAGTCAGGCTACTCTGCCTGGAGTTTGTCCGCAGAGAGAGACGGGGTGTGGATGCAGTACTGCCAGCTTTTGCTTCCCTAGTCTGGCTCCAGCATACATACTCTTTTCATATTATTTTTATAGTTTTTTTTAAAGTAAATTTCTTTATTTTGAGGTGGGGGAGGGGAAGAGAGAAAGGGACCCAGGGAATCCCAAGCAGGCTCCGTGCTGTCAGTGCAGAGCTTGGATCGGGGCTCGAATTCACGAAACGTGAGATCATGACCTGAGCGGAAATCAAGAGTTGGATGCTTAACCGACTGAGCCACCCAGGCGCTCCCAACCAGCGCACATACTCTTAACCATTGCTTTCTACTGCCTTTCCACGTATAGCCTTCACAAGGCGGTTGCCACGTGAGACTCAATATCAAAACAGCAGACACTGCAACAGCATCCCCTCCGTGCAGTCAGACCGATTCACCGCTTGAGTGGCAAGAGTGCCGCAGCCCACGTGGGCCACAAGGAAATGGCACTGGAGGACTGGGAAAGCCAGGACACAGGGAGCGTGACCTCAAAGAAGGCAGCCCCGGGAATCCACATGGAACTCACGTGGCAGACGTTGCCAAGCAGGGGCCGGGCCCCACCTCTTCCTCCCTCCCCGCGAGCTGGCAATGAGGGATGGCCGAGTGCTGAGGTCTGGATAGCAGCACGGGAGCAAAAACGAAACGTGCGGCTTCCAGGCCCGGCTCAGCAAACCTCCTATGAATAGTCTCCCTCATTCGTCTGCCTCCTACTTGCAAAGCTGTCAGGGCCACAGGTGGAAAGCAACCGGGCCTCTGGATGGCTACCTGAGGCGCCACCCGCCGATCTTGCACCAGTGAAATATAAACTTCTCTTCTGTGCTGAGTTGAGATTTGGGCTTTATCTATTGGAGCAAGTGTTCTAGTGAACTGTGTGTGTCAACTTGACTGGGCTAATGTATGTCCAAAGAGCTGGTATGATGTTATTGCTGGGGGTGTCTGTGAGGATGTTTCCAGAAGAGATTAACTAGCACTCGAATCCAAGACTGAATAAAGAAGGTAGCCTTCACCAATGAGGGTGCATGTCATCAAACCCCATAAGAGACTAAATAGAACAAAAAGGCCCAGGAAGGAAGAATTTGTTTTCTTCTCTTCCTGCCCTGGAGCATCGGCCTCCTGGTTCTCAGGCCTTCGGAATGGGGCTGAATCACACCACCAGCTTTCCTGGGCCTCCAGCTTGCAGAGGGCAGACTGTGGCACGTCTCAGCAAGCCAATTCCCGTATTAAATTTCCTCCCATATCTATCCTGTGAGCTCTGTTTCTCCAGAGAACCCTAATACAGCATAATTAATTTTTTTTACCTTACTTAATACACCTGACATCTAGTCTAGCAATAACCATCTCTTAGGATTCCTTTGCTATTGAAAAAATGTAGGACGCGCAGCAGAAAACATCTAAAAAGTCTGGAGATATGAGCTGAGCCAGGCTTAGGAGATCATTCTCTATATTTAACAGGTACTCACAGATCCACACACCACAGCAAGCATGTCACACAAACCCAAAGCATCCACGGGGATCTTACCTGCCAACAGAGAGGACGGTGACCTCTCCCTGACGCCTTGCATGGCCCTGTTTGGATTTGTTGGTGGGTCTTATGAAGTGCCACCGTTTGTGCCTACACCGATGACACACGTCCCTCTCGACAGCACCACCCACTGTGTGCAGATGATGACCACAAATGTGCTTCCCAGGGGTGCCTCCTGGCGACAAGGGCCCAGGGCTCACAGGCGGGCTCCCAGGAGTGCTGGGTGTCACAGGGCTAAAGTGGGAAAAAGGAAATGGTAGAACTGGTTACTTACAAGGTAAGGTAATCTCTCCTCTTGTAATGCAAGTAGCAGATTTCAATCACAGCCAAGTGTCTGCCTAGATCTCTAAACAAAGAGACCCCAAAACACATGTGCGTTGAAGGAGAGAAGCATGTAAATTCCCATCAAATAATCAAATGACTTAAAATGGAATGTTTGATCCAGATGACTATTGCATCAAAGGAAGGAAACTTTTCTGTCCAGATCTTAAAAGTAATGCTTTAGAGGTGTTGATGGTGCTGACAGTAGTAACAAAAATTGCTGACAGTATTCTAAGTGTCTGATATGTGTTATATCGGTTAATCTTTACAAACCCTTCTGAGGCTGGTATTATGAATTTCCTCATTTTAAAAATGAGAAGTTAAGGAACTTGCCAAAGACACACAGCTAATAAAGATGGATCTGAGATCCAAATCTGGAAAGTCTAATTCTAGAAACCATGAACTTGACCAACATGCTATAGTGCTTCAAAAAAAACAAGGGAGGGGAACCTGGGTGGCTCAGTCGGTTGAGTGTCAGGCTTCAGCTCAGGTCATGATCTTGTGGTTCGTGGGTTCGAGCCCCCATGTCAGGCTCTGTGCTGACAGCTAGCTCAGAGCCTGGAGCCTGTTTCAGATTCTGTGTCTCCCTCTCTCTCTGACCCTCCCCTGTTCATGCTACCTCTCTCTCTGTCTCAGAAATAAATAAAACATTAAAAAAATAAAAAAATTTAAAAAAAGGGAGACTGCATTCTTTGATAGTCCAGGCAGGCCATCCAAAATATAAAAAGCAGAAGTATATAGGTCAGATGTTGGCAACTTTCAGAAGACATGTCAAGACTCTGGTCCACTAAGAAAGGAGGACTTAAAACAGGACAGGGCCAGCCTGACCAGGAATCAGCCCTGTGACATGGTAAAAGTGGGTGCAGGAGGGGTCACATGTCACCATGGAGCCTGACAAGGGAGCCTGTCCTAGAGCCCCAGAGGCACGTGGTCATCTTATGACAGCATAAACCAGCCTTTCTGCTGCTGAGAACCAGCCATATGCACTTTTTTTTTTTAATATTTTTATTTATTTCTAGGAGAGAGAGAGAGAGAGATAGCATGAGCAGGGGAGGGTCAGAGAGAGAGGATGTCACACACTGAAACAGGCTCCAGGCTCTGAGCTGGCAGTCAGCACAGAGCCCGACGAGGGGCTCGAACCCACAAACCGCGAGATCATGACCTAAGCGAAAGTCGGATGCTTAACCGACTAAGCCACCCAGGCACCCCGCCATATGCACTTTTAAAAAGAAGTGTGTGTGGTTGAGGAGATAGTCTCAAACACCACGGACAGCCAAAAGCCATCTAGTGTTCTTTAGGGATGCTCTTTAGGTTGTTAAAATAAAAACACTCAGCAGCAGCTTTCTGAGATAAAACAATGCCAAATTAATACCACATAGTAGAAAGGTGAATTCAAAAGTTTAACAACATTTGTTCGGCAAACGTTCATCAAGTACCTGCGGTGCATAAAACCCAGTGACAGGCACTATACAGCACCCAAAAGTAACCGAGGCAAACATGCCCTGAGCCAACATGGTCCCAACAGCATGGTTAGGGCTGGAACATGGGAGAAATCCCAGCTCATGTGTCTCTGAGTAGCCCTATGAACTACACCACCAGAGCCTCCTAAACAGACCTTCCTGCATGAGGCACCTGGTTAAAATGCAAACCTAACACACCAGTTTGACAAACACACTGGAGATATCCAAGATGGGCTGGGTGCCCCACCCACAGAGTAAGCAGGAAAAAGGTTCTAAACTCCTTGTCCCTCAATCCCACCTTGCCTTCCTGGCTCTTCTTGCTACTGTCCATGGAGCATTCTCGGACCTCCCCAGACTGAACCTTCCGCACTTTCTCTGCCTACAAGCAAGCAGCCCCTGCCTGTTGCCTCTGTCTGTCGAATGCCTGGCTCAGACAGCATTTCTGTGACCCTTCCCTGACCTCCCAGTGGCCTCACAGAGTTCGCAGAGCATCTAGTCTTTGCTTCTCCCACAGCATAGTCATGAGCATCCCCATCTTAAGGCCTCACACCCACACCTCCATTCCCCACTAGACCAAGTGTCCATGCCATCAATCTGTGAATGCCCAGCACCAGCACTGTGCCCAGCTCTGAGTAGTCATTCAATAAATGCTCCTAGCTGAAGAAATAAAAAATTAGATAGACATATAGTTATCTGTAATTAATAAGGACTATAATGCTCCGCCACCAAACCAGCCTGATTTTTGCTTAATCATCATTAATCATGGAGGTCCCTCAATGCCCCAGGCCCCTTGTCTTCCTTATAATAACCCAAAAAAGTGGGTACAATGGCCATCTCCGTTTATAAATGATGGAACTTGAGCTCAGCATGATTGGTTAACTTGCCCACAAAGAGGTGGTCAATAAGGGTAGAGGTAAGACTCAACCCAAGTGCCCAGTTCCAAGGCTGTTAACTTCTTCACCATATCTCCAACACTGCAGGTCTCAACCAGAGCCGAGTTCTCCCCAGTGGACGCTGATGCGGTGTGGGGACATTCTGGGTTGTCACACGGAGGAGGAGGAGGGGAATAAGACACCAGAATCTAGTGAGCAGAGCCCAGAAACACTGATAAATGTCCCAGGATGGTTCCTCACAGCAGACTATTATCTGACCAAAATGTCAAAAGTGTAAAGCTGGGAAACCTGCTCTAATAGATAAGTGGAAAAAAAAAAAAAAAGTCCCTAAAGCAGGAGCGGGGGGTAGCGGGGAGAAGCTCTCACCTTTCAGGGTCACCCACGCTGTTATCTGCTACCATTGCCTTTAAAACATCAACGTTTGCTAAGGGAAAAAAAAAAAAGAAAGTAAAGAATTAAAATGGGATGAATCACATGAGTAATCATAGAATTATTACATCAGAAAAGCTGTTGGAAGGAAAATAAGAAAGAAAAGAAAAGCTGTTGGGAAAACATCCGAGTTCCTTCAGTGCACAGGGCCCTGGGGTCCTGGCAAAGGGAGGGTTTTTCCCAAGGCAACCCCTCAAAATGGCACCATCTGCAGATAGCTCACCATTCTGGAATTTACTATGAGTGTCAGACAGTCTACACAAAGTAAAGCAGATCACAAGAGAGCTGTGCTTCTTACCCATCATTCCAGTATCACACAGAAACATAAATTTCTTCACCTGCTCCCAAAACACAGGGAAATTTACATGCTGCTAGTCCACTGCGTTCAACTCCCTTTGCTAAATAGGCAGTGACATGCATGTCTTAAGAGACCTGTATTCTAAGTAACTAACTTGAATTTAAAAAAATAAATTAAAAAAATAATAAACCAATAAAAAAAAAAATCTGTACTCTCACAACTTGCACATGCCCAAATCATATAAGCCTTCACCTCTGGATCCGCATATATTATCGGGTCTATCCCACATATAATCAGGGATGTGAGATAATTTTCCAGGTGGGCCATTTGGCTTAGCTCAGCTTCAGGACCATATAAGACTTTAATTCTGGCCAGATACTTTAAATTTACAAGAGGTGGTCACAAATTTAATTTACCTACTATAGACTGAATTAAATTGGACTTCTAATATTAATTTTTTTAAAAAATCCAAATTTTTAGGTGGAGGGTATAGGTGATCAACAAAAACAAACTGTATCTAAGCTTTTTGGGTCCCCACTCTACCCCCACCCCCACCGCCCCTACAAACACACATCTTTCGGCCTCTCACAGAGCAGTTAAACTCTCAAGGATGAAAGACTGAACGTTCAAGTTTCTTTTGGATATTTAATTGGCAAGGCTAAATGTTATTACTGACTCCTAACCTTTTCATTGATTTTTAAAGTGCTATTCTCATGAGGAACCACAAATTCCCCAGAGATGAAATAGAAAATCACTATTTACCATGTGAGCCAACACCAACATTTAACTTTTAACATTTCAAATGACATCCCTAGGGAAAGAAAATGCAACACTGCTGATTTTAAGTATTAACAGTGAAGGATTTATATGGTGTTTCTCAACGTTTTAAAAATTAAATTTATCTGGGCACCTGGGTGGCCCAGTTAAGCACCCGACTCTTGATTTCGGCTCAGGTCATGATCTCACTGTTTGGGAGATCGAGCCCCACTTAGGGCTCCACACTGAGCATGAAGCTTGCCTGGGATTCTCTCGGATTCTCTCTCACCCTTTCTCTCTGCCCCTCCCCAACTTCTCTCAAATAAACTTAAAAAAATCTTAAATTTAAGTTTTTTAACTGAAATACTTATTGGCTCACCCAGGAGCCTTTTGCAACATCTTTTTTCTAATCACCCTTTCATGAAATTCTAATCTTAAAAATGTGTATCTGTTTACATAGTAGGCACAAATCTGTGTTTTATATATAAAATAATAAGGGCTTTTTGCCCCCATGATCCATTTTCACCCTTTACAACCCTTGTAAATGCACAGATTTTTAAAAAAGAAATATTAATACAACATGCCATCTTTCTTTCTCTTTTTTTTTTAAGTTTATTTTTTATTTTGAGAGAGAGAGAGAGAGCATAATAGGGGAGGGGCAGAGAAAGAAGGAGAGAGTAAGAATCCAAAGCAGGCTCTGCACCATCAGCACACAGCTAAATTTGGAGCTTGAACTCCTGAACCGTGAGATCATGACTTGAGACAAAACAGAGAGTTGGACACTTAACTGACTGAGCTACCCAGGTGCAACCCTTAACACAGCAGGCCATCTTTTCTAAAAGAAATATCCTCTTTACCCTTCATGACTATCTGTGAGGATGTCCAAATGCATTCCCTAGTGCACGTTTTAACCTAAATAAGACTCTTGTCATTACTGAAAATGTCCTGGAATGGATTGGCAGGATCCTCTTCCGCACAACAGAAGACATGTTACCTTCTGTAAGACAAACTCCCATACAACCTAGTGATGTCACTCATTTTCCCTTTGACTAATAATAAGGATGCACAAAATTAATTTTTGTGGTGACAAGGGGTTTAGGGAATATACACAATAATTCGCCAGTTGACACTTATTCTCTGCTATCACTTACTAAACTTCGAGACTATAAACATTAAAGAGGGAAACCAGTAACAACAACAAAGGAATGAAAATAAAGACAGCACTAACAGCACTCACTTATAAGGATGGGCTTGTTAAAAACAAAAGTTTAAATAGTTGCCAGAGAAAATGAAACACCTTTAAAGATGAACTTCCTTAGAAACACGGAGTCAGGGGGCATCTGGGTGGCTCAGTCAGTTAAGCGTCCAACTTCGGCTCAGGTCACGATCTCACGGTTCGTGGGTTCGAGCACCGTGAAGGGCTCTGTGCTGAAAGCTAGCTCAGAGCCTGGAGCCTGTTTCAGATTCTGTGTCTCCCTCTCTCTCTGACCCTCCCCTGCTCATGCTGTCTCTCTCCCTCAGAAATAAATAAAAAACATTAAAAAGTTAAAAAAAAAAATAAAAGAAACATGGAGTCAGAAAATGATCAAGGAAGACTATTGAAATATATTAAAATCATTCCTAAAACTATTCTTTTATAAACTTTGTACTTTTTGCTGTATTTATGTGTTCCTGTACCTCGCCCTTATCTCTTAGAAAAATTAATAAATGGCCCCATTGTTTGCTATGAGGGAATTCTTTAAGAGTAGACTCAAGTTTCTGTGTAAACATCACCCACACCCTCCCTGTCCGAGGAGGTTCAGTAGGTGAGGCCACGTGGTTTCCTGGGATGAGAAAACTTTCTAACATAACCTCACCATGACGACTTAAACACGTGCTTAAATTTGGTTGTAAAATAACTATGACAGAGCAATCATCTGATTAAGTCCTTTTGAATATATATCCCCTCCTTGAGTGTTACTCATAACTCCAATAAGCCATAAAAGATAGCTCCTCTGCTCTTCTCAACATTCTGTCAACTCTACTTCCCTTCATGGGTTTCCAGAGAATGGGAGGGGTCAGTTACAGGGCAAGGAACACCTGTCAGGAACAGGAGACATGTTCTAGAGGGTACTAATTTCATGAAATGCTTCCTCTCTTCTGTCCTGCGTTTCTGCCTGACCATATGTATAAAGCAGTGAAATTCAGGCAGGAGGAAGGACCAGCTTCCTCCCCAACCAGTCTTTTCTGCAAACATTCCCTGGCAATCAAGGCAAATCCCCCAGGGCAGCACTATTGCTACCGCCCGAATCCGAGTGGCTGCCATGTGCCAGCCACTGACCAGAAGCTTTAGAGACCTTATCATGTTTGGCTCTCTTGACAACTCCAAAATAGAATCATCATGCCCATTTTACAGATACAGAGGCTGAGGCCCTAAAGATCATAACTGACTGGCCAGAGTCACACAGCTAGCGTGACAGAGCTGGACACAAACCCTTGTCCATCCGACTCCAGGGTGGGTGCTTTTTACCCCATGTTACCCTTCTCGTTCTTCAATGTCCAAGTCCCTACCCAAATTATGAATAGTTTAATGCTTCACAGGGCATTTGCATAATCATTATAGCAAATTTCGGAGACCTATTCAGCAATGATAATTTGTAATGGAATCCTTCTTGCCTTAATATCAATGGAGCCCCAAGGTAAGAATTTCACAAAAGGATCTCTCTGCCTAGTGTGAATAACCAGCACCTGGAGAATAATCACACTACTCTTCATTGTTACCAGATCCGACAGTTTAAGGGCCTGGAAGAGAAGCTGAGCTATAAATGTGTAAGTATTTCCCAAACTCCCACAGAACCCGAGAAAACCCCAATGATCACCCACACACTCTTCAATCTATTTAGAAAGATAAATTAAGGGTCGCTTTATGCTTAGTCCATTAGCAGGGCAGTAATCAGTACGCAGGTCAGCTGATAAATGTATCCCTCAAGAGATTTATCTAATCTACCCTGATATGCAACATTCGAGACACGAAATGTTTAAACCATAAACAAGAATGTCACCATGAGCACCGGTGAAATATTACCCCATTAGCCAAATTAAAAATGCAAAGCAGAAGACTATTCATAAATCAGGATTGCAAATGTTTTAAAATATGTAAATACAGGCAAAGAAAACCTAGATAAACATGGCAAATGGTAATGGATGGGCTGTACTCAATTGTATTACTTTTTGTTTTTTCCAGTTTTAAAGGAAAAGTTATGTATGGTATGCTTACAATTAAAGAAATGGAAAGTTAAATTAACATTGACAGGAAGATCTAAATTGATACTAAGTCCAGAGACTGTGAAAGACATAGACAAAAGATTAAAAATGCATTTGTCCTGTAGAGGATTGAAGTCTCAAAGCAAACCAAAGAAGCTAGGATATACACTGGGAAGAGACCCAAGTATGAATCGAATTCCCTAGCTGTAGTCTGGACACAGGCTGGAAGGAAGCCTGAGAGGGCCACGTCTAGAAAAGGGACATCCACTGAGGTCAGATGTTTCCTGGTGGCCGAGGAGACCCAAGGGCCACACACAGGATCAGAGCCACCACTCATCCTCACAGGTCACTGGAGAAGTCACCAGGAGACAGATGAATGCATGGACAGGGGGAGGGGGGAAAAAACCAGGGAGCAGAGGAGAGAGAAGGAAAACATACCTTAGGTGTTACTTTCATGAACCTACCGGCGATCAACGCAGAGGACACAAAAAGGCTTCCTCCCAAAAGGAAAAGGATATCATTAAAAAAGAAAAGGACAGATCTATCTGCCCACAAGTGTGGCCTGGTCCCGAAGCTCAGATGTGCGCTGTTGTGTGAGCTCACGGCCTGTTTCATCTGCAAAATTGGATGGGACAAGGGCCGGCCTCCATAAGGTAGGTTTGAGAATTTAGTGACTTAATGCTTAAGGAGGTTTATAACCCATCCCAGCTGTACACTTTCCCTCTTTGAAAGGAACACACCTCCCACCCCTCCTTCCTGCTACCAGAAAAGAGGCAGTAACAGCAAGTGGTTAAGTACAGACTCTGGGTTCAGATGCTACAGTACAAATCTCAGTTCTGCCACTGGCCAGCTGCCTGATGTTGGCAAGCCAACTAGGCATGGTGGGCCTCTCAGTGTCTCCACTGTAAAATGGGAATGAAGAATCTGAATCGTAAGCTCGTCAGTCCCTAGAAAGCCCTTTGAACAGGCCTGGCATATGGCAAACACTCAGTGCATACTAGGAAGTTGTATGTAAGAACTTCAGCCCCTGCAAAGTTTTCACAGTTTATTTATTCCTGATTCAACAGTCAGTCTCACCACATCCACACTCACGAATTTAGCAGCTGCCCCAGCGCTTAGCCCCAATCCCAAAGGCCCCCAAGATCCCCAAAGCCATGGGAGGCAGTTTCCAATGCAAAAGGCACTCTGTGCCTCACTGTGTGAACCTCCGTATGGCTGAAGCATCCATGCCAAGAACACATTTGTGGATTTCTCGTGTGAATTGAAAATCATTTCTTATGTAAGAGAAATGTGCACCATTGAGTATTCAAGAACAGCATCACCAAGTATCATTTCCTGAAGGAAGGTCTTTGGAAGGCAGAGATCAAAATCCAAGTGTTCTGGTCATTTTTGTTCTTATTTTAAACACCGTCCTAATAAGATTGGCTATCTGCTTTCACATCCTCTAGAAACTGAAAGCCACAAATCATAAGAGAGGAGAGGTAATGTTGTGTAGTTGAAAGAGAAGCAGTAGGGCTGGGCTGTTCACTAACCATGTGCACTAACGACCTGAAGCTTTCATTTCTGCCCCCGTAAAATGGGTATAACACTACCAATTTTAGAGGTGGCTGATGTCTCAGCCAGTTAAGCATCCAACTCTTAATTTTGGCTGAGGTCATGATCTCATGGTAATAGGATCCAGCCCCATGCTGGGCTCTGCACTAACAGTCCAGGGTCTGCTTAGGATTCTTTCTTTCTCTCTCAGCGCCTCCCCACTCATGTTCTTCTCTCTCTTCTCAAATAAACAAACATAAAAAAAAAAAAATACGAGCTTTAGAGGGATATTGTGAGGATTAAATGAGATTACATATGAAAAGCACACTGTAAAGAATCATAAAAATGGTGCTGAACCAGTTGACACTGCTGTTTCTCTAAGTCAAAAGACTGGCCAACCCCCGGGGCCGGCAGGAGCTCGCCCTGACAGGGAGGCTGTTGGGGTGGGCCCCCCCAGGGAAGGGCAGGAGGCAGAGCAGCAGGTACCTACTCAGCAGTACAGATATTTTACCTTTTGGACGAATGGCTCAGTGCACCCCGTAGCAGCTGGCTGTAACTGGAGCCAAGACAGAGCCCAAAGGAAAGGTTTTCTTTTCGATTCTAGAGAGAATCCAAAGTATGGCGATCTGCAGCTATTGGAGATGTGGCTACGGAGTTCCACATGCCCTAAAAGTTACTGAGAGCCTCACCCTATGCACCCCTGTAATGGTATCCTTCAGAAATAATAACCAGTGTTCAGAATGAGAACCCTAACTTACCTAATCAGCATTCAATTCATCCTCCATTTCAAAAGATAGGAGTTAAGAGCACATTTCTGAGGCAAAAAAAATTGCTTATGTCCACAAAGGTTAAACTCTTTAAAAATCGGAACACTTAAGAATAGATCCCAGAAGAGGCAAATCCATAGAGTCAGAAGCACAGTGATTGCCAAAGGGGAGCTGGGGGAGGGCGGTGGAGAGTGGACAGTGATTGCTCAGCAGGTACGGAGTTTCAGTTTGGGATGATGAAAACATTCTGGAACAAGGCAGTAGTGACGGCTTACGTCATTGTGAATATACTTAATGCCACCAAACTGTATGTTTAACAGTAACCTTTTCTGTCTTGTGTATTTTACCACAATTTAAAAAAATATATACAAAAAAGAAGGAACAGACAACACTTGAGCGCCTACCATTCTAATAAGCATTTTGCATGCAGGGTGTCACAGCAACGCTACCGGGTACATATTATTTATTATCCTCCTTTTATTTTTTTTTTAATTTTTTTTTTTTTAATGTTTTATTTATGTCTAGGAGAGAGAGAGAGAGACAGCGTGAGCAGGGGAGGGTCAGAGAGAGAGGGAGTCACAGACTGAAACAGGCTCCAGGCTCTGAGCTGGCAGTCAGCACAGAGCCCGACGAGGGGCTAGAACCCACGAACAGCGAGATCATGACCAAAGAGAAAGTCGGACACTTAACCGACTAAGCCACCCAGGCGCCCCAGTTTTTTTTTTTAATGTTTTATTTATTTCTAGGAGAGAGAGAGAGACAGCGTGAGCAGGGGAGGGTCAGAGAGAGAGGGAGTCACAGACTGAAACAGGCTCCAGGCTCTGAGCTGGCAGTCAGCACAGAGCCCGACGTGGGGCTCGAACCCACGAACAGCGAGATCATGACCCAAGTGAAAGTCGGACACTTAACCGACTAAGCCACCCAGGCGCCCCTATTATCCTCCTTTTAAAAAGAGGAGTAAACGGAGATCCCATGCGGTAATGTGACTTTCCTCAAATCAAAGTGAGGCCAGCATTTGAAGGTGAGCCTCCAGAGCTGGCTGGCTTGATGCAATGCTCACATCCATTGACTGAAAACATACTTTGTGAAATTCTCATGGTCAGATAATCTGGAAGCTTAATGGGTTAATAAGCTTAGGTAAAAGATACTGCCCATGACCAGAAATACTGACAGGAGAGTTCATATAAATTCTGACTCTTGGAAGCAAATTTTCAATAAAACATATGAATATTGAATTGTTCTGGAACACCTAAAACATCCATACCTTCATTTTTCATGATGTAGTGAACAATCTGCCCAACGGTGTCACTATTTTCATTTACACTGTCATTCAATTCTGAAAGAGAAGGGGGAGGGGAGAATGGGTTACCACTGGTCACCTCTGTGGAGTCCATGAGACCTCACTGAACAGTCCCCAGAAAGCTCTTGCCAGGTTACTAAGGGTCTAGGCTTTCTTCCTTCAGCCCCAAACTGCCTGATAACACCACCCATAGTGACTTCCCTGGCATATATAACAAGTAGAACAAGTACCGGAATTATCCATCAACCTCTTCTCAAGTCCAAACACCCACTCACTTTCATGTATCCATATCAGTCATTACTACTATATTTCTCTCTCATCATTTCCTTAAACCCTTAGGGGAAATGGGGAAAAGACAGTTAATTAAAATAAAAAATTCTCCTAGGATTTTTTTTTAAGTTTATTTATTTATTTTGAGAAAGAGAAATTATGTGCAAGCCACTCAGGGAGGGACAGAGAGAGGGGGAGACACAGAATCCGAAGCAGGCTCCAGGCTCAGCGCAGAGTCTGACGTGGGGCTCAATCTCACAACTGCAGATCACAACCTGAGCCGATATTAAGAGTCTGACACTTAACCAACTGAGCCACCCAGGTGCTCCTCCTTGGATTTTACTTTAACTGCAGATATACTACATAAATTTAGAGTATGAATTTCCTTTATAAATTGGGCAATTATTTGTCCATGTTTGTCAGTCTCTCCTTTCTTTTAAATACATTTGCAAATGACCTCAATTTCAGCCGTGGTTATCTGCCAACAAACAGTTTACTTTATGAGACTCTGTATATGTGATAGTCTCTGGAGAAAAATCAAACCTCCACTCTGAAACTGTGTAATTTCAGGGAGGAAGAAAAAAGGAGGGTTGAAATATGCCATCTTAGTTTACAGAGAACAAATCAAGGTGTGCAGTGTCCTACGCGTGTACCCGGGGAAGTGTCTTTGCCATCCACAGTCGGCTTCCTCCTCTGTGAAAGTGCACGTCTGGGTGGACAGTGCAAATGCTGACCTGCTAAGCCAGCCTCAACAGAGTGTCTGTGAGGGGGGAGGAGGAGGCTTGCTTTCTGTTGACAAACACTCAGCTACGGTTTGCTCATAAGCTGCGCATGACTCATCTGCAACCGGGTTCTCTCTCTGCCTCAAAGGTCAGTGGGGGTGGGAAAAACCAACAGGCCAGCAGGCTGGCAAGAATGAGGAAGCTCTCCCCCACTCTGCCCTTTGGACTCTCTTGAAAGGTGACCTACTCCAAATGTCCCCTTCTGCAAAAGCTGACCTTTGAGGAGCTGAAAGGGATAAGGAAGGTTAGCTACTACTCCCCAAGTCCAGATCTGGAAACGTCCCTAAAGAATGGCTGAAAAGAACAGCTACAGAGAAACAAGATCTCATTCTCTAGGGTTTTTCTGAACACTGTCTAACACTCCTTGTTAAGAGAACACGGTAAGACATCCTCGTGTTAATCGAAGGCTCCATTTCTTGCCACTTTTACTGCACTGTTGACACAGTTATTTACTTAATAAATATAAATTCCAATCACACAAATTTAAGTTAGAACCCCCCCCAGCAAAAGTAATACCATAAAGGTGGTGAAAGCTATTTACATTTTGCATTATCCTTATTAGAATCTCTTTTAATAATAATAGTAAGGATTAATATTTACTGAGGGGCCTTGCGCGCCAAACACCAAATGCATCATCCCTCTAAATTCCACAATAATCCTACAAAATGGAGATCACTGTTTCATTTAAATTAAATTAAATTGGCATGAAATTAACTAAGATTAAATTCTACTTAAATTATACATAGTAGAGATCTGGAGCATGTGTACCTTGCCCAAGGCCACAAGGAATGAGCAGGTGGGTGTTTAATAAAGGAAAAAGGCAGGTTTCAAGCTCCAGGTGGGCTTACTACGAAATCTACACAGACCCACCATACCACCTACTGTGAAGATGGGTCACTTTGCCTCATAGAGATGGAAAATATATATGACTGGTTTCTTATTTAAAAACTGACCCCCACTTGGGGCAATGGGCTGGCTCAGTCAATACAGCATGCGACTCCTGATCTCATTGTGAGTTCGAGCCCCACACTATGTGTAGAGAGTACTTAAAACTAAATTTTTTTTAAAAAAAATTGCCCCATCCACATCTCCATAAAGGGAACGCAGGTATTTACCTATCTTTTCAGCCTTTTCCTCTTCCATGTCTTGCTCGGCTTCTGTTGTACAACGATAGCCTTTCTTCTTCAGCAAGTGGCAGATGAGGACACCAAAGAGACCCATGATGAAGAACACAGGGACAAGCGCATATGCGATATATTCTGGGTGTCCATTCCCAGTATTGTCAGTGGGCGACGGCGTCGTCTGTGTTTTGGAGTGCAATGTGCGGCTGCCGCCATTGTCTACAGAAACAAACACACATGGCCGCATCAGACATCTGTCGGAGGCAAGGAAAACCTTACGACACCGGGGAATGTTCACATTAAATCCCAGTCTGCTTCCCAAACCGTGGGCCACGCGGAGACTGGCGGGTCTGGCAGTACAGAAGGCAGGCTGAGGGCCAGACTTTAGCTCAAAGTCTGAGTACCCTTCCTGTCCCTGCTACTCATAAACTAGGTCCCGTCCTGGGTAATTTCTTTTAAAACCTCCCAATCCAGCCTCTGCAGCAGTACCCATAAGTGCAGAAAGCACGTACAGAGTTCTGGTGAAGTGGCAAGCACAAAGCAAACACGTTATCGGTCGGTGGCATTATAGCAGGGGGCTTAGCGGTGAAGGGCATGGACCCAGGAGCCTTGGATTCAATTCCTGGCTCCACCACCTAGCAGCTGTATGACATTGGGCAATAATTTAGCATCTCCATGCCTCAGTTTCTCGTGAAATGGGCATACTAATAGAAGCCTCCTGCCCTTCTAGGTGTTATGAAGGTGAAATAAATTATACATGTAAACCATTTAGAACGATTTTGACAACATAGAAAATGCTCAACTACATGGCAGACATCATTCTAGGCTCTTATGCTGTATCACTGAGTAAAACAAAGATCCTTGTCCTCACAGAGCTTATGTTTTAGAAGGGTTCAGTAAGGTGACAGACCTAGAATATGAAAAAGAGAAAACTCCAGGATGGCATCAAGATTTTGGCCCAGGGATACAAACATGAAAATGGCAGCATGTGCATTTGTTCGTTCATGTATCCAAATTAAAATTTATTGTAAGCCCATTACATGAAAAGCATAAGGCTGGGAACTGGGTAGAGTGAAAACACAATTTGGCCAATAACATCTTAGAGCATGTAGAGGAGCATCAGAAAGAATCCCTGATCAAAACACATGGGCAGATCACAGACTAACAGAAATGCTGTGGAAGGCATATACATGGGGAAACAGGAGAAAAAAATAACCGTGGGGACCTGCTTTATGACAACAAAAATAGAGCGGCTGGGAAGGAGGCATCTTTTGGAGAAAAGGAGAAATCTGCTTGCAGACATGTCAAAATATTGCATGGACCTATTACCAGAGGTGCCATACATCCAGGCCTGCAGGGATGCCACGCGTAGGCTCCCAGGAGCACCCTGCACATGGGGATCTGAGTCTCCTCTATGAGGGAGAGTGAGAGGCAGAGAGCTTGGTGCAGTCCTGAGACATGGCCAATGAAGATGACAGAGAAAGAGCCGATTCTGTAGAAAACCAGCAAAGAACCAGCTCATGGAATAAAAATGAGAAGAGAACTATGAAATGAAGGAGGGGGTCACGTAGGATGAGAAGTAAAGAGAAACGTGACATTTGATTGAAATGAAGTGTCATAATTTGGAATACTCAGATTCTGAAGTGCTAAAATGATGTTCTCTGCATCAGGGAGATTCACAATGCTGTGTAAGAAACTGAGAAATAGGAGGGCGCCTGGGTGGCTCAGTTGGTTAAGCATCCAACTCCTGATTTCAGCTCAGGTCATGATCTCGTGGTTTGAGTCTTGTATCAGGCTCTGCACTTACAGTGTAGGGCCTGCTTGGGCTTCTCTCTCTCTTCCTCTGCCTTAAAAAATTTTTTTAAAAAACAGAAAGAAATCCAGAAATTGGAAAACTAAATATACTTAATTATAAGCACTCTCAAAGAGTATTTTGATAAAAAAGAATCTGTGTGGCAATGATTGCATGGGGTAAATACCTGTGAAATAACCACATTTCATCACTACAGCAAAAGAAGCCAAATTTGTAAACCAGAGGCCATACAGAGGGCTATCAACCTATCACATGGAAATATCCATCACCTTTGAACATGAAAGGAAATTGCTGGTTTCCTAGGTTTGTAAAAGGCTACATTCATTATTTTATCAGGCAATCTCTAGAATTGGGGATAGTCTATATATTTTTTTTTTGTTTTATTTTCCAGGAATCAATATAATAAAGGAATGAACAAATAAATGGAAGTACACGCGTGAGTGCACACACACACACACACACACACTTTCCTGAACATGTGCAAATATACCCTCTAAATTAGGATTTAACTACCAGCCTTTCAGTAAAAACCAGAAACATTTCTTTAACTCCTTTTACAATAATAAGTCTTATTTAATAATTCCTTTTTTAAAGTTTATTTATTTATTTTGAGAGAGCGAGAGAAAGCAGAGGAGAGGTAGAAAGAGAAGGACACAGAATCCCAAGCAGGCTCCATGCTGTCAGCACAGAGCCCAACATGAGGCTCAAACTCACGAACTGTGAGATCATGACCTGAGCGGAAATCAAGAGTCAGACGTTTAACCAACTAAGCCACCCAGACATCCCTATTAATTCCTTTTTAATAACACATATGTCATGTAACAGGAATAGGTGAAGCAGGCAACATGCTAAGACCGAGAGAGTCTTACTCAGAATCATGGTCTGTTTCAATCTGGAGGTGATCACCAACTCTCTTTGGGGGGCAGTAGGAATAGGGATGAAAGCAGAGGGGCTCAGCATTGGCGCCAACAGCTCCTCTTGATTTAGGTGGTTGAGAATGTGTCTTCATCATTAATTTGACATGTAGCAAACCCTTGCAAGTACTACATACTTAGAGTCTGTGATTTACAAACAAGGATCTGTCACTTAATCTTGTAATTACTGTACCATGGAAAAACTGAAGAAGATATTAATCTAAATTAGTGAAACATGAATTACAGAGAGAAGCAATATAGCACTGGGGTTACAGGGTCAGAACGCCTGACATAAATGACAGCTTGACCGCCTATTAGGCATGTCACCTTGGGCAAGTTATTTCATTGCTCTGTGTTCAGTTGCCTTGTTATGAAACAAAATCAAAATGATTGTATCTTTCTATGATGACTTTAAAACATGGCCCCAAATTCTTTGATAGTCTGTATCTCCTCCCAAATATACTCTGAGCTTTGTCTGACCAATAGAATATGTCAGAGTGACACTTTGTCAGTTTCCAAGCCCCAGACCCTAACAAACCGACAGCTTCCACTTCTGATCTCTTGGGGCACTTGCTTGCTTTTTCTTGGGGCACTTGCTTGCTTTTTCTTGGAGCACTATGCTAATCACCATACTATGTGGAAGCCCAAGCTTCCCCGAGGAAAGAATCCAATAACAATCATTAACTTGCCAACTATGTAACTGAGCACCTTAGAAGTAGACCCTAGAGCCCCAGCTAACGATGCACGGAACAAATATGAGCTGTTTCTGAATCCTGACAAGTTGTAGATTCCTAACCAAAACAAGTGACTAATGTTGTTTTGAGCCATGAAGCTTCGAGGTAATTTGTTATACACCAAATAGTAACTAGAAGACTACCACATAGAGTCATCGTAAGGATTAAGTATATTAAATATGTAAAGCACTTAGAAGAGTGTTTAGGAAGAGGTACGCATTGTAAAAATGTTTAGTCACCACCTTGATAGAACTGTACTACCCAATATGCTAGCCACTAGCCACTAGCCACAAGTAGCTACTTAAATTTAAATTAATTAAGGGACGCCTGGGTGGCTCAGTCAGCTAAGCGTCTGACTCTTGATTTCCACTGAGGTCATGATCCACGGTTTGTGAGATGGAGCCCCGCATTGAGCACTGCACTTGACAGCATGGAGCCTGCTTGGGATTCTCTCTCCCCGTCTCGCTTTGACCTTTCCTCACTCACATGTGTGTGCGCGCTCTCTCTCTCATTCTCAAAAATTAACATTTTAAATTTAAGTCAATAAAAGTTAGATAAAATTAAAAATCGAGTTCCTCGGTTGAGTTCAGTAGTCACATGAGCTAATTACTACCATATTGGACAGATCAGATAAGAAACATTTTCAGGGCCCCTGGATGGCTCTGTCAGTTAAGCGTCTGACTTCGGCTCAGGTCATGATCTCACAGTTTGTCAGTTTGAGCCCCTTGTCGTGCTCTGTGCTGACAGCTCAGAGCCTGGAGCCTGCTTCAGGCTCCGTCTCTCTCTCTCTCTGTGTCCCTCTACTGCTTGTGTTCTCTCTCTCAAAAGTAAATAATAAATAAACATTAAAAAAAAAATAAAGAGGCTGTTCTATTGGACAGCCCTGTTAAAGACTACAAAGAACCGCTAAAAAGCAGTTAACTTGAGAATCCACTGTGACCTACCATAGCAATTCAATAAAAATAACTTTAAAAATGCCTTAAAACATTAACATAGGTTAATTTACCTTTCCTGCAATTTACACTAAAAAACTTGTTTAGAGACATTGACCATCTTTCTCTTTCATCTCTTTCTCTTTCAGCTGAAACATATCTGAATTATAAACAAATTGTTTATTTGAATCCAAATTCATAGCAAAGGTGGTTGCTGCATTATTCATAAGACAAAAAAATGGCAACAATCTGAATTTGACAATGGAATAGTAAAAATATATCAAAGTCGATCATTATCTACTCATTTGATGGAATAATATGCATCATTTAAAACTATAAAGATTTCATGAAGACATGAAATAACACTTAAGATACAATGTTGAATATAAAAAGCTTGATTCAACATCTTACATACAGTTTGGTCCAACTAGTTTTTGTAAAAAAAATGCATGAAGGCATAAAATGTACAAAGCAATGACCAAAATATTAAGTGATTCCAGGTAACTGAACAATAGAATAATTTTAAATTTTATTTAACTTTTTAAAAATTTTTTAATGTTCTTATTTTATTTTAGAAAGAGAGAGAGACAGAGCATGAACAGGGGAGGAGCAGACACAGAATCTGAAGCAGGCTCGAGGCTGTCAGCCCAGAGCCTATGCAGGGCTCAAACCTACAGAGCATGAGATTATGACCTGAGATGAAGTCAGACACCCAACTGACTGAGCCACCCAGGTGCCCCCAAATGTTATTTTTATACTTAACTGTAATTTTCTGAAATTCATATGTATGTATTACTTTCGTACCAAGGAGGTAGACACCTTAAAA